AAAAAAAAAAAAAAACAAACAAAGAATGGCTTCACTTGCAACTTTTGCCGCGGCCCAGCCCACCACCGTTAAGGGCCTCGCCGGAAGTTCCTTCGCCGGGACTAAGCTCCATTTGAAGCCATCTCATTTTGGTTTCAAGCCTACTAACAACCGGTAAATTGCTTCTTGACCCATATTACACTTTCTAGTAGTATAGACTTCGGCCTCTTTTATTGTACCAAAAAAAAAGTACATATTAATTTGTTATTTATTTAGTTAGCATATTCCCCCATATATTAATTCAGAACGCGCTGAGCCTACGTGGCTGCTTTTGATGCTTCGGAATCCTATGTGGCAAAATTACATGCTTCGTTATTAGGCTTGGGTAAATTTTAATTTAATTCCAAACTAAAAATAATTAGGTTTGGATTACCATAAATATGTTGATTATTTATGGTTATGTTACATGTTTTAATTGCATGTTAATATCATTCCTTATTATAACTATTGAATTGTATATATATATATTTTAAAAGTTAATAACTTTTGTATTTTTTATCAGTTTTACATATGTAATATATCAAATTAATCTTCTTTTGATGAGCTTCGATTTAACATCCATATTGTATGTATAAAAAAAATAATTTATATCTTTATAACAATAATAAAATTATTTTTAATATTAATTAGAAAAATAAAATTCTTTATCAACTAATATATTTATATTTCAAGTAGTTATATGATATAAGTTATAAAAACTAATATAATATAACATATGTAAGTCATAAGTAACACATATAAGTCTAAAATATATAGTAATATATATATATTTTTTTTTTGTAAAAAAGTAAACTAAATTTAATATAGTTTTCTCATTAATTTTAAAATTTAAGAATAATTTTTTAACAATCACCCGTGTATTCACCCGTGTAATACACTGGTGTTGTACTAGTAAGATTCTCATATTTAAATATATTTGGTTTGATAAAAATAAATTTGTATCGTATTTTTCCTTAGGTGTCTCTTATAAAGAAAGTCTGTAGAAATTTTTATTCAGCTATGGAATTAATTTTATCATACACTTTTTTTTTTTAATACATGGCTCATGGCTGAAATATGGAATGGTATAAAATTTTTGATGATTGAATGTTAAAAAACAGTAAGGCTTGTTCTGTGGTGGCGAAATATGGTGAGAAGAGTGTGTACTTTGATTTGGAGGATATCGGCAACACAACCGGGCAATGGGATTTGTACGGTTCGGATGCACCCTCACCGTACAACTCCCTTCAGGTATTTTCGTACTCGAAAATCTTAACTGGTTGATGAGAAATAACCGATCGGCCTGTTTGTTGTCGACATTTGGGTAATGTCTGTAAATTTCTTCAATAAAAATGTCGATCGCCCGATTATTAAATTTGACTCTATCTATCTGAATTCGTAGAGCAAATTCTTCGAAACGTTTGCTGCTCCTTTCACCAAGAGAGGTCTACTTCTGAAATTCTTGATACTCGGAGGTGGGTCGACCCTTGCTTATGTCAGCTCCCAAGCCACAGGAGACGTACTCCCGATCGTCAAGGGCCCACAGCTCCCACCCAAGCTCGGCCCGCGTGGAAAAATCTGAACTTTTTTCCGACCCAATCGTTGTTTAATGATATGTACGATTTTCAAACAGCATTGTATGTAAAAATCAGACTAAAGCTTGCTTGCAACAACTGTTAAGTCATCATCATACATATCTCTATATGCCTCAGTTTTCTTCAACTGTCAAAATGATGTACAGATCATCAAGTGATCCAAACCGGTCAGTGCCCGTGACTCATCGGACTATCTAAACAACTCCCAAAAAAATCCTATTCACGAAAAAAAGAGAAATTACATAAGTTGTCTCGACAAAAAAATACCGCCACCTTATATACACATCAATGCGTAAAGCCACGACACTCCATGCTACGTGATAATTACACGAGCCG